ACAGCAGCAAGCCCAATGCAGGGTTCAGACTCACAAACCTGAACCCGTGAGATCATGACCTGAGGCAAAATCAGATGGATGGATGCTCAACTGACGGGGCCATCCAGGCACCCCATCCCCCTTCTTTTTTTTATACTACAGGATATTTTGTCTCTTCCCTTCACCCATGACATTTTCAATTCTCCCTATATACTGTGAGGGGGTTGGATAATAGATTATACAGTTCCATTTCTTTCTTTCCTTTATAGTGAGATTTTGCTTTTAAGAATAAGTTTTGCTTATGGATTCAAAATTCTAGAATTTTTACCAGTTTCTATTTATTATGCTTAATTATTTTGATTTGAATATATAGCCTTACTGTATTTAGTGATAAATCTAATGGCAGTTTTATCTCAGTCTGTTTTAAAGTGAATATTCTATTCTCTATCTATTCTTAGTCCTCTGCTTTGTCGTACTTTGAAGGAGGTGAGGAAAGAATGAGATGAAAGAAGTAATTCTCACTGAGGCAGGAGATGGTTGGGAGGGGTTTGTAATAGACCATTGCTTAATATGTTCTGTCAGCCAGCTTTTGGGGAAAACTGATCTGTACAAATGTCATTATTTACAAACACAATATTTTATGTTCATTTCTACTCTTATGTCAGTGATTCTCAAACTTTGTGGTCTTATGACTTCTTTATTCTGCTAAAATAAAATGGCACATTATATTTGTTGATATTTACTATGTTACTAATTAAAACAACAGTAATAAAATATTAATGAAAATTAATAAAACCGTTACTTATTAACACATACAGAATTTTTAAAAATGAACCGTAGCTGTTTCTCGCAACAAATACATATTTAAGGAGAAGAGTGACATTGTATTACATTTTTGCTTATCTCTGTGGTGTCTGGATAATTCAAAGAAAACGTCTAGATTTTCATATCTGCTGCTTCTTTACTCTGTTGCTAAGTATTATTTTGGGAAAAGTTACATGAAGAACATCTAGCATCATAGTGATAAATTAATGGGAAGAGAAAGACCTTGCAGATCCCTGAAAGGGTCTTAGCTGCCTTCCCCTCCTCTAGAGAGTCATAGACCATACTTGGTGAACCACTGTCGTGAGAAAGAAGTTACCAGTCAAATTGTCATATGTATAACTGACCAAAAGGTAATTTTCAACTGTGAATGCATTCCTTATCTGTTGCTTTGATTATATATGTGTGTTTCTGATGATTAATTTGTTTCCCTTTAGATTGCAACCCAGATTGCAGTGCTGATTGCCAAAGTTGCTCGATTGGACTGTCCTAGACAGTGGCCTGAACTGATTCCCACTCTTATAGAATCTGTGAAAGTCCAAGATGATCTTCGACAGCACAGAGCATTACTTACCTTCTATCATGTTACCAAGACTCTGGCTTCCAAACGTCTGGCTGCTGATAGGAAATTGTTTTATGATGTAAGTGATTTAACATAGTTAATTTTGATTATGAAAACTGCTACTTGTGAGAAAATGTCTGTAATTTTACTCCTCTAAATATTATATTGAAAGATTATGAATTCTTTGCATTTGACCTCAGAAAATTTAGAATAATAACATCTGAAAGATCTTATTTTTTATTAAAAAAAATTTTTTTTTAGATTTATTTATTTTTGAGCGAGAGCGAGAGAGCGAGCATGAGCAGGGGACGGGCAGAGAGAGAGGGAGACACAGAATCTGAAGCAGGCTCCAGGCTCTAGCACAGAGCCTGACCTGGGGCTTGAACTCGTGAACTTTGAGAGCATGACCTGAGCTGAAGTCGGACGCCCTATCAACTGAGCCACCCAGGCACCCCACATCTGAAAGGTTTTAAACTGGATAGTGATATAACCAGTAAGATTGCTTAGTTCCCAGTAGGGGGAGATTGGTTGGTATAGAGAATAGTCTGAAGGTAGAGACTGTTTGACGCTATAGAGGTTCAGATGGGGAAAAGAAGCGGCAGTAAAGGGAAAATTTATGAGGGATAGAGTTGAAATATAGGAAGTTAAAATTGACATGCTTGGGTAATTGATGGATGTAGGGCAGATGTAGGGAGGGAGTCTGACATAACTGGTGGGTGAGAGCCCTTTATTGGATGTTTTAGCACCATTTATTGAAAAGACTTTGATGTTTTCATTCACTTGCTTTGACATTTTTGTATTTGACTGTTTTCACCTTACTAAAGTAGTGATTTTCATACTGTTCAACCTAATGTTTTGGACTGCACCTTGTAACACTGGTGAGTCTCATAGTATTTTTAACAGTGTTCTGGTTTGTCTTTGTAATCCTTACTTTGACAGTATAATTTGGGAATCTGATTTTTTAACAGGCTCCCCAGGTGATTCTTATATACATCAAAGTTTAAGCCAGAATCCCATTAGGTCCTCTATACTTTGTTTTTAAAAAAATTTTTTTAAATGTTTATTTGATTTAGAGAGAGAGAGAGAGAGACAGAGGGGGAGACACCTCTCCTGAGGGTTCCTGTCTCTTAGCTGTGAGCACAGAGCCGCATGTGGCTCTTGAACTCCTTACTGATTGAGCCACCCAGGTGTCCTGGTTCTCTATACTTTTAACCCAGTGGGTTTAAATAGTTAACCTTAGGTTTACTCAAGGATGTTGAGCATAAGAGAAATTCTTTTCGTTAAAGATTGCTTTTTAGATCATTGTTGCGTTTGCTTGATAGCCAACTAGGATTTTTTAAGTTTATTTTGAGAGAGGGAGTGTATGTGTACACACACACACACACACACACACACACACACACACACACATTCTGTCTCTCTCTCCCTCTCTCTCTCTCTCTCAGGAAGAGGCAGAGAGAGAATGAGAGAGAGGGAGAGAGAGAGAGAATTCCAAGCAGGCCCTGCACTGCTTGCGTAGAACCCATGAATCATGAGATCATGACCTGAGCTGAAATCAGGTTATGAAAATCATAACCAACTGAGCCGCTCAGATGCCCCAAAAGCCAAGTAGGATTTAAGAAATGGACTGTTTATCCTCTCAGGTTTTTCTGTGAATTTATTGCTAATTTTTTTCACCTTTACCCTCATCTTAAACCTTTCCACTTACTTTTATATTTGCTGTTTTCCAAAGTCAAGTGTCTAGAAGATAGTGAGTTACAGTTATTTTGTCAAAGAGTACCCTTCTGTAAAGTCTTAATTCATAGTTCAACTTTTCTCGAGTTGTACTCTCCTAATGTGTTGTTTCAGTTTAAGGTATAATTTTTACTCAGTTTAAGCAGTCTGTATAAATTGTATTTTTTTCCCCATAAAGTGATGCTCATTTATTTTTCAAACTGTGCCTAATCAGAGACTGTATTCTGGATAGCTTGAGTTAACTTTCTGACCCTTTCAATTTTCTTGCTCCGTTTTCTTGTAGTATGAGGCTCTTTCCTCTAAGTATGCAGAAAAATGTAGGTCTACTTAGCATCTTATATGTACTTTCAGCATAGTATCAATTCCATTGTGCTTACATTCCATTGTTGACTTACCTTTGTTAGATCCCCCACACTATGAATTTCATGAGAGAGGAATATAAGCCTTTATTATTACAGTCTTACTGTCAAGTCCAGAAGAATGCGAATGAGTGGGTGGTGGTGCTCAGTAACTGTTAAATGAATATAGAAAAGGAGACTTGTTCTAGATACCTTCTAGGTTTTCAAGTGGCATAGTGCAAACCTTAAAAGAGCAGGAGTTTTGGGAGAATATGCAAAAACTTAAGATACCTGGAAAAAATTCAGCTTACACCTTTCAATTTGAATTGAAGTAGCGAAACCTGGAAACATGGAGCATAGTATAGACTATGAGGGGAATTGTGTCTAATGGGTTTTGTATAAGACGTGTAGTTTAATTAAGGTAGTATATGTAGGAAGACATTATTATAAAAAGCAATTTTGTGAGGACCTGGTTGGCTCAGTTTGTTAAGCGTCTGACTTTGACTCAGGTCATGATCTCAGGGTTCGTCAGTTGCGTTTGGGCCCTGTGTCGGGCTCTGTGCTGACAGCTCAGAGTCTGGAGTCTTTACATTCTGTGCCTCCCTCTCTCTGCCTCTTCCGCTGTTTGTACTCTGCCTCTCTTTCTCTTAAAGATAAATAAACATTAAAGAAATTAAGAAAAAAAAAACAGTTTTGCTAGCTAATAAAGTAGCCCCTGTTATTTTGGTAATTTGAAAGGTAGGAAAGTTTTCTTACTGATAATATTACTATAATGCTAAGATGGTCTTCATGTACTAAATTAGTTTCCTACTACAGAAGAAAAAATGAAAGCTCATAGTTGAGCTGCTTGCTATAGCAAAGTGTTGCAGTGTGCACTCAAAAGTGCAACCTGCTACTCTTTGTGTGCCAACAATTTCTATATTCTATTTTTCTTTCACATTAAAATAATTTAGGTCTTTTTCTGGGGTGACATATTACAGAATCAGCAGTTGAGAGAAAATTGTTTTGCAGTAACAATATTGAGCTTGATTTTACACATAAAAGAATTTGTTTTTGATAAAACAGTATGCTTTTCATAGAAACTTGAATATAAAAATGTTGATACTAAGTACTGTTAAAATCAAAATCTGGAGTCTGTGAAAGCAAGGAAATTTAAGGTACAAATTTATTTATTTATTTATTTTTGAGAGAGAGTGTGAGCAGGGGGAGGGCAGAGAGACCGAAGGAGAGAGAATCCCAAGCAGGCTCTGAGCTGTCAGCACAGAGCCCAACTTGGGGCTCAAGCTCACAAACTGCGAAATGATAACTTGACCCAAAATCAAGAGTTGAATGCTTAACAGACTGAGCCACGCAGGTGCCGCTTTTGGTGGGATCATTTAAGGGAGGGAGAGACTCCATGGGACTAGCTTGAATTAAAAAAAAAAAAAACAAAAAACCCCGAGAACAAAAACCCCCCCCACAAAACTGTGTGCTGAACACTGAACAGGAGAATTTTATTTTATTTATTTTGAGGGAATGGGAGGGGAGAAGGAGAGAGAGAAGGAGAATGAGACGGAGAGATGGAATCCCAAGTAGGCCATGCACTGTTGGTGCAGAGCCCAATGCTTGGCTTGAAGTCACAAACTGTGAGATGACATGAGCCATAACCCAAGAGTCAGCCGTTTAACAGAGCCACCCAGGTGCTCCAGGGAGAATGTTAGTATAGCACAGTGTACACAGTCCTAAGAAAAGGGGCTTAGAAAAAGAATAAAAACTCAAAAAACTTATCACTAAAGTCTTTTTAAGTTGCTCTTGAAGTAGTGTTCTTTGCTTTGTCCGTCTGACAGATCCATTGTATTGGATGCCTGAGGCATAGCTGTGAACAAAGATAAGGTCTCAGATGGGGAGGAGGGTAGTTTCACCTTTTCTGCACTCCTAACGACTTGTGATACTTTGGATACATAAGCGCATCATGTAGGCACCAGTGGCAGAAGACAGGTTTGTGTCTCTGCTAGGATTAGAGGACTTTGGGGATCTGTAAGATGGGCTGCAGTGACCGTGGTAGGTTTGAGAACAAAATGAAAATCAGGGTTTGCTAAGAAATATGTAGGTAACAGATGTTACCAGTCTGTAGGAAAGTCCTTCAGTGAAAGTGAGTGTCAGTTGAGACATTGGCATTTTGACTAGAAATTTTTGAGGTAGATCTTGTACCCACCAGAGTTTCTGTCCTGAAACACTTTGGTAATTTTAAATATGTATAATGATATTAAAGAAAAACTGATCACTACCAAAGTAACTACCTTTTTGTCATTAAGAGCATACAGGTGTTTTTAAAACTTCTTGTTATGAAATACTTAGAATATACAGAAAGCATAAGAAAAATATAAATTGCCATATATCCATCATCGAGATTTAGCAGTTTACATTGTGCCATTTTTGTTTTAACACTTTTTACCTAAGGTATTTTAAAATGATTTAAAGATTTCATGATATTTTATTATTAAATATTCATCTGTAAGAAGATAGATTTATTTTGTTTATAATCATTTAACCTTTACCAAAACTAAAAGTAAAAATAATGATTTAATACAATACTATGAGCATATTTTCTACATTGTTCTCATATATACTTTAACAAGTGGTTTGCTTGAGCCAGAAAAATAAATAATGTGGGTACATTTGGTCAAGTCTCTTAAGTGTCTTTTAATTTAAAATAATACTCATTTCCTTTCTTTTCTTTTTTTTTTCTTTTTCATGCCACTCACTTGGTAAAAGATTTGATTCAAATGTCTTACAAGATGTTGTACATTCTGTATCTGTTGATTTTATGCGTGTTAAGATCAAGGTTAAGCAGATTTTACAACTATTAGATTATGGGTAATAATTTTGCCCCACTATTCATGATTAATTACAAGATAAAACTAAAAGTTTTTCAGTGCTCATGTTTCTTAGGAGAAAATAGTGAGAATAGTGGTCCTGAGGCTAAAAAAAAAATATTTTAAATGCTAAAAGAAATAAAATGTTCTGTAATGGTTCCCTTTTGAAATTCAAGGAATCAGGTCTTTGTACTTACCAGTTAAAATCGCTTAGCAGCCAGTGGGTGGCACTGTTTCTCTGGTTTAGAAAAAGAAAACGCAAATATCGATGGTTTTTTTGTGAACCAGTACCTAAAATGTTTCATTAAATAGCTTGTTTTCATATCACCTTACTGAGTTGTCTCCCGTCTGCCTCCATATTTTTGAGAAGAAAATGTAGAAGAAATATTATTATTTTACCTGTTTCATTATTTTCCCTTTCCCCGCTGAGCCTTCAATGAGCATACATCATTTGGCGTCTTCTGGAGCAGGTAGAAGTTTGTGCTGGACTTGTGTATGTAGGACAGCTGTCAGTGTTCCTTCCCAAATTCCTTTGGTTTCTTCCTTCGTTATTTGTCCTTCTCCTTTTACTCTTGGGCTGAAAGGGTAGTGCCGTTGCTGCCTCTTCATTCCAGCCATTTCTGTTGTGTAGACCTTTTGTTGTAGGCTAGTTAAAAAGGATTGTGAATAGAGCTTTGATAGATGCCTAATGCTCTTAACCAGGTGCTTACCACCAGACCTGGAACACAGGACAAAGGAGAATACCAATTAAAAAAATTTCCCCTATACTACTTGGCTCTTTCTTAATTTTTGCCTTAAATGCCGCTTGCCTTCATTCAGCAATACCTGCTGTGTGCCAAAGATACTTAGGTGCTTTTCATATTTATATGACAATTCATTAAAGTGGCACTTTGATACTATTTACTTTTCAGGGCTAGAAAGAAGGAAGAATTAATAAAGATCTAACGGTGCCCTTAATATCTATAAACTTGATGACATTATTTTTTTAAGAAATAGTGATGAAAATTTCAAACATTGCTGAAAGTTTCTTGAGGTAGAATGATAGAACATTTGACATTCTTGAGTTATGCAACTTTCTTACACGTGGTTAGTGAAATTATAAAAGGATTTATAAAAGGAAAAGAGGACGATTTTATAGAACAACAGAATTTTTTTAGGATGACTTTGATTCTGCCATGGTGAAATACTTCCTTTTGTTCACTTTTGTCACATTGAGGACCTTTGGTTCAGTATTCACAGTTGTTTTGTGGTATATTTTGGTTTTTTTGTATTGGGAGTGAGTGGGAAGGTTTTTATGTTTGGTATGTATACTATAATTTACATTGTGCATTTTAAGATGGTGGCATTCTATAAAGGGATATTCTCCTGGTAATAGAAGCAGCACCAAAGACAGTGCTCAGAGCTTACATTTTTAACAGCTATGTTCTAATGTCTCTTAATATCCATACATGCAGAATCAATATCATAAATCCTGTTCTCCACAAGTTATATAACAATTCAGTAATGGTAGAATTTTTTTTCATAACAAAAAGGAAAAATTCCCCAAGTTCACTGAGATCAATACTGCTCCTAATGTGGATACAATGAATTGTGTGAATCAGAATCTTACCTAAGATTCTTCTATAAATCTCACTCTCCTTTGTACACCACTCAACAGAACATGTACTTTTGTTCCATTATTTATATGGAATACCTATGCAAGACAGCTAATACAAATTGAACATTCTTCTGATAGAAGTATATAATTTTTATATACATATAAAATTTGGTGCAAGTCCCATTCATTAATCCTAAGAGTCATGGGGCCTTCTGTCTAATTCTCAGTGCTCTCTTCAAACGGTGCTTGCCAGACTCAATAAATACTAACATACCATTTCTTAGTTCCTTAAAAATAAGATTAAGCTTGAGGAAAAAAGTTGACCAAGTGGAATCTGACACCAGCTCAAGAAAAAAACATATAACAAGAGGCACTTGCGTGGCTCAGTCAGTTAAGTGTCCAACTCTTGATTTGGGCTCAAGTCATGATCTCACGGTTCATGAGATCACGTCCTGTGTTTGGTTCCTTGATAACAGCAGGGAGCCTGCTTGGGATCCTCTCTCCCTTTCTGCCCCTTCTCGGCTTACTTGCATGCACTCTCTTTCTCTCTCTCGCAAAATAAATAAACATTAAATATATAGGGGATAACCTGTCATTCTAAATCACCAGCATATTTTGAAAATTGTAACCCTACTCAAGAGGTTCATTGCTTGGAGTGCATCAGATGCAACACAACCCAAGGAAGTGTTGAAATCAAGAATTTTGTATTACTTGTTAGAAGTAAGGAGACCGGGAGAGAGCTCTCAGAGAACTCTGTTCCTGTGGGGGCAGTGCAGGAAGCCTTTATTCAGTGATCAGGGGCAGGGGCAGGGAGCTCCCATAGGCACTTTGGTTCAACTCCACATGCCTAGCATGTCAACACGCTTGTCAGTGCATATATCCCATGTTCAAAAAAAGGCAGAAAACTCTGCCCATAGGAGACCTTAGAATTATAATGAACTAAATGTAACTTCAAGACAACTCAGAGGGGCCTCTGTGCAGGTCCTCAGCTCTAACCCAACTCAAATTGACTCATATAAGGGGCTATCAGGGGAGATAATCACAGCAAGGAGCTCTCCAATGAAGCACCTACTTGGGAGTCTCCTTGGCTAGAACTGCTGGGTTGGCAAAACAAAACATATTCCTTCCCTGCTTTTGTCCATTCCCCTCCTCCCTCCTGCTGATAGCTTTCAGCCCTCTTCTTTGAGTAGCTTCCCCTTGCATCTTAGCTAACAAAAACATGTCAGATTTATTTTAAAGGTGTTTTACAAGAAAAATAGCTTCTAAAAAAGTGCCCTGGATTCTGAACATTTTTAATGAAATCTGTACGTAGAAGTGAATGTTAAACAATTAGTATTAAAGAGGAGATGTGATGGAGCACCTAGGTGGCTCAGTCAGTTAAACGTCAGACTTCCGGCTTAGGTCATGATCTCAGTTTGTGAGTTCCAGCCTCACATCAGGCTCTGTGCTGACAGCTCAGAGCGTGGAGCCTGTTTCACATTCTGTGTCTCCCTCTCCCTCTCTCTCTGTCCCTCCCGTGATTGTGCTCTGTCTCTCAAAAATGAATAAATGTTTAAAAAAAAAAAATGTGAAGGAGAGCTAGAAAAATAATTTGTAAGCAAGAGGCTGGTTTAGAATGTAATAGTTTTCTTATTTGGAATTTGGGTATGGCACCCCTTAGATTTTATTTACTACAGAGTATAAAATGGGTCTAAAAATTATAAACAAGGCTATGGACTTCAGTTTACTTGATTAAAATACTTGCTACAGTAAGAAATTTACTTTAAAGGTTTACTTTCAGATCTTATGTGTAATTCCTGTCCTTTTTCTACCTCTAGATCTCTTGGTTTTCTTTCACTTTATTCTGGCAGACAAATATTTTGATGATTTGTGTGTTTGGAAGAGTATATGATGCTCTAACTTAAAATTACACAGTGCATGTAATAAAAATTAAAAAGATGTATTTTCCAATTCTTAGACATGTATCTTAGGCTCATATTTTCAGAAAGGATTCAATTTCCTAAGAAAAATATTGAAGTTCATTATAGTTGTAAGTAAACCTTACAAATTTTTGACATTGGTTTTTCAGTTATATCCCTTTTGATTAGAGTATTTCTTTCTCTGTCATAGGAGTGTTTCATGGTATGTCAACTTTAGATCCTTAATTTTTTATGAAACTGCTGCTTGTGCTGTAATACGGTGTTGAGATAATTATCACTGCTATATTTTAGCAGTCTTGAAATACTACAATTGAGTATTTTTGTTTTCTTCTCTGAAATATTCCATGTATGGTTGAGAATATGTTGAAGTTACTTAATAAGTAGTCATTGTACCTTTGTCAAGCATGTGCCCAAGACAAGAGTGGGCCAACTGCTACCCCTGACTGGTAAGTTGGTGAAGATAGGACCCCTTTTAGATTCATTCAGTTGGTTACCTATTTTGGGCAGAGAAAAGAAGTTAGCCATGGGTACCAACTCCCTCTGGTTTTTGTTGATACACACCAAAAAGAATGACCAAAGCAATATGGGTGAATGACTCAGATGCAGATTGTGGGATCCACTATTGCTAAGGAGCCAGTTCTAGAACATAACTAAATAGTTCGGTTTTCTGCAGCTCTTTTTGAGGGGAATGGGTCAGAAAACTTTACATCTTATCAGAACCTAGGAGATGAGGAGAAGCTGTTTTATGACAGCTTAAATGAGATGACAGGGAGGTCAGCAGGAAATTGTCTTGTAGCAGTTCCTTACAAGCCTTCCATTTCTTGTTTTTTCAGGAGGATTGTAATAGGTTGTGCTGATAATCCGCTTTGAGGTTCAAGCCTTTGTGTGGCCTTTGTAGGTACATGCAAAATCACCAGCGAGATTTGGCAAAGCTCTCTGCCTACACCTGTAAACACACACATGTCATTAAAATGACTGAATTAAGGGGTGCCTGGGTGGCTCAGTTGGTTAGGTGTCCAGCGCTCAATCAGCTCAGGTAGTGATCCCAGGGTCTTGAATTGAGTCCTAGTTTGGGCTCTGCATTTAGTGTGGAGCTTGTTTGGGATTCTGTCTCTCCCCTCTTTCTGCCCCTCTCCTGCTTGTGTGCCTGCTCGCTCATGCACGCTTGCTCGCACTCAAAAAAAAAAAAAATTCCCTATTAAAATAATAGAAATGGAATTTGCTTTTTTCCTGGAAGTATTATTTTATTTGCAGGATTCCGACTGGTTTCTGATGCCCAATCTTATCATAAATCCAGTATTTAAAGGAAATGATAGACTTTTATCTGGATTAAGAAAAACTTTTTTAAGTATGCTAATGATAACTAGTCATATGTACTTCCATCTCATTTTTATTTAAAGTAAATGGCCATGTAGACTCAGCTGTATTGCTCTTAGACCTTCTGGAAGAAAAGTAATACAGGATACCATTAGAAAGGGTTCTGCCTCAACCTGGGAGGCAGAGGCCAGCTGCAGCCCAGTGTGAAAGTCAGGTGTTTCAAATACCAGTACAAAATAGGAAAGCAGCATGGCAAGTGTTGTGGTTTGTATGTTCCTGGCTTTTACATGCCCCCAAACCATATGGTAGAACTGGCAGAACAGAGAAACCTTTTGTATTTCTTAGTATATTGTTTCATCTGCCTTACTCGGTGACTGTTTGTCAGTGTTTTAAGTTTATATATTTATTTAATCTTGACACCCACTGCGGGGCTTGAACTCATGGCCCGAAGCTCAAGAGTTGCATCCTCTTCCATCTGAGCCAGCCAGGTGTCCCTGTCACTGTTGTAAAAACTGTGTGTTGCCACATGTTAGTGAAGAAAAATAGAAAATGTCAGACTGCAGTGCAGGCATTAGATTAATGTTTTGAGAAAAATGAGTCTTTTTGGTGAGTGTCTGTGTGTTCATACCGGCAGCCAGCAAATGGTCATTGCTACTGTATGTTTTGGCTTGAACAGTTTGAAATATGATAAACGACTTAACTGTTTCACATCT